AAAAGCGTGTTTTTTTTTTTTTTTTTTTTCCCCCTTTATTTAAAAAAAAAAAAACCCCAGCAGTGGTGTGAAGGAGCAGCCACACATGGCAACCATTATAGGAGAGTCAGCGCGGAAGAGAAAATATGCCTGGAGAAGATGCTGTGTGGCAAAAAAGTTACTGCAGTGCAAAATTTCAATCAAACTCTCGTTTTTATTTTTATCTTCCCACTCTAACTGAGCCGCCTGACGCTGCTGGATGGGAGAGCTGAGCCAGTGCCCAGAACGTTCAATCCCATACCCAGAATACCCAGTGCTCACAACCCACACCAAAGGGCAGCTGCCAAGAGTCTTCTTTTTCTTCCCCCCGCCCCTTCCCATACTTGGGTTGTAGCTAGAAAACGATCACTAGTCTTTAAATCATTGTGTTTTTTCTTAAAAAGTAAAAGCCAAGAAAACTCTGCTTGTATTTTTAGCTCTGACTGGGTAGAATGGGAATGGAGCCCTCTGGTTCCAAGCACAGACCACACTGCCCGATCCTGCCAGTCCAACATGCAAACCACCACCCTGGACTCCCCTCTGGCTCCTCTCAAGGTCCAGCACACATTCCTGGAGGCTGCCAGGAAACAAACTCCCTTTGCTTCTGGAAGCATCTTCTGCTATTTTAAATATTAACTTACAAACTCAGATTTCTTTGGACTCTGCTTAAGCTAAAAATTAAGGAAACAAGATGTTCTCCCACAGAATGAGAGAGAGAAAAAAAAAGCATGGCAGAAAAATAAACTGGAGCTGGGATGTGGGGTAGCACTGAAAATAGGTGCTGGCTGGGTGACAGAGCTGGGGGAACAGCAGGAGCACTGCCCGGGCAGGGAGCAGCCACCCTGCTCCAGCCTCCAGCTCCCACTTCCCCTGGGACCTCACAAGGATCAGAGGAAAAGGGAACAGTCCTTGGGGGGTTTAGTCACACAGAAAAGGGACAGGATGCAAACCACCACCCTGGACTCCCCTCTGGCTCCTCTCAAGGTCCAGCACACATTCCTGGAGGCTGCCAGGAAACAAACTCCCTTTGCTTCTGGAAGCATCTTCTGCTATTTTAAATATTAACTTACAAACTCAGATTTCTTTGGACTCTGCTTAAGCTAAAAATTAAGGAAACAAGATGTTCTCCCACAGAATGAGAGAGAGAAAAAAAAAGCATGGCAGAAAAATAAACTGGAGCTGGGATGTGGGGTAGCACTGAAAATAGGTGCTGGCTGGGTGACAGAGCTGGGGGAACAGCAGGAGCACTGCCCGGGCAGGGAGCAGCCACCCTGCTCCAGCCTCCAGCTCCCACTTCCCCTGGGACCTCACAAGGATCAGAGGAAAAGGGAACAGTCCTTGGGGGGTTCAGTCACACAGAAAAGGGACAGGGAGGAGGGAGAGATAAAAAACATCCTTCCTGGAGAGCAGGTCATTTGGGAGCCAACCTCCAGAAGCAGGGCTGGCACAGGGCTCCTGGAGCTCCTGCCCCCCTTGGCTCCAAGGTGGGGCCTCAGGTAACAGCTCTGGATGCTGAGAAACAACCAGTCTCCTTGGCCACCCTGTTCTGATGAGAACAAGCCTTCAACCATCCCCACCTGGGGACGCTGGAAATACCGGACCCTTTATCTTTCCAAGGAGGAGGGAGATGATGATTGTAAAACAATCTGTGCAGCCCAACTCCTCTGCAGTGGGATCTGCAGACGCCAGAGGAGCTGGGCTGAGCTCAGTCTGCTCAGCCACTAAAGTCAGCGTGGTTACCAGAGGGACAACCCGTGTCCCAGGGCTTTTCTCCACAGGGAGTAGAGCCAAGCTGCTCCCAGGGCTGGGCCCCAGCATGGGCACTCTGCAGGGACCTGTAAGGGGAGGCATGAACTCATCTCCCAGCTAAAATCCATTTGGGAACTGCATCCCTCTTCCCTTTTTGTCCACACATCCACCTTCCTTCCATGCAGGTCAGGAGAACAGGAATAAAGAGCAAAAGATTTTCAGTGCTCCAGCCCTTGGGGCACGAGGTGCTGCCAAGTGAGGCACCCAGACTCAGGATCCCCCCCCCCGGGGCTCAGGATCCCCCCTGGCTCCCCAGGGGCTCCGGGTGCTGCTCCGGAAGGCAGTGCCTGCCTCAAGTGCATTTGCAAAACTCCCTGACATCCTGCAGTGCTGCCAAAGGCTCCCACAGAATCAGCTGCAGGGGCTGCCAGGCTCTCTCACAGATGTACCCAGGCACCAGTCCCCAGTGACAAAGGCTGCCTGTGTGGAGCTGCTCGACCTTGATCCATTAGGATGTGTTCTAGGAGCGCTGCCTTTCCTCCGGGGGCTGTCCCTGCTGGTGGCACCTCTCCCAGCACCAGGCTCTGTGTGCCAGGAAGCTCAGCAGCATCACTGGCCCTCTGTGTCCTGCAGCCCTTGGCTTCAGGCAGCTGAGGATCCCTTCTTCCCAGGAGACGCTCCAAGGTGGAAGGGACTTGCTGTACTCCGGGAAAGGGGCAGACAAAGATGTGCTCTGAGGGGGCTGGGGATCAGTCAGATGCTACCTGGGGGCTCCTCTTTTCCTCCTAGACCACAGAACTTTTCCACCTTTCCCATTTCCAGAAGATAAAGCTTGGCAGAAGCCAAGAGGTGCAGCTGGGCAGTGGCACCTCAGGCATTCTGAGGATGGAGGGAACCCACCAGGCCCCAGCCCGGCCAGCTGGAGCTCTGCTGCTGAGGGCAAGGCCAGTCAGCTCCCTCCATCCCCCAGGAACCAGGGAAATGGGAGTCAAAGACAACTTTTCCTGCTGTTTCCTATGCCAAGACAAAGACTGGCACTCAACCAACTCCTGCTGCCCCCCAGGCTGCTCAAAATCAGCAGAGCTCACCAGCCTGGTGCTTGTGGAGGAGGAGGAGGCAGAGGAGCCAGGCCCTGCCCACAGCCCCCGTGGAACCACCACGCAGATGTTTTTATTTTCCTGGCCACTGTGCTCCTCCTGCTCTGCTTCCCCTCCTGCTCTGCCATGTCCCAGCAGCCCCAGCTCTGCCCCGCTGGCCCCTGGCAGGACCCGCTGTCCTCGGCAGCGCGCTGGGTGGGGAGAGGCTGGTGGTTTTCATCCCCAGGCCCATAATTGACACCAGACACCCGCCAGCTCCCGAAAACTTGGGATTTGATCAGTCAGAGCTGCATCTCCTCCCCTGCCCTGCAGAGCCAAAACAATTCTGGGCTGATTAACTTCAGTGTCAGGAGCAGAATGAAACCCTGGCGTTCCCCCGGGGCCGGGGGGGAGGGGCTGACAGAGGGAAATGAGGCAAATTGAAAACTACACCAAGAAACCGTTTGCTGTTCCAACAATATCAGTAGGAAAGTTGTAAATTGAGAGGTCAGAGTAAAACCACAGTTCAAAAAGAAACACAAAAAAACCCCAACAAACCAACCAAAAATAACCCCAAGCAAACAACAACCCCAGGGCTGGGAGTTCTCACCCAGGCCGGGGTAGGTCCTGCGCTTGCTGAGATTGGCCGATTTCACCAGGAACATGCAGGACTGATGAGTCATCCAGGAGCAGAAAACGAGGAGCAGAGCTCCCAGGACAATGCCACACTGGAACAGGAGAGGAGACAAGGGGGAGATGAAAGCAACAGGCGGTTTGGTCTGAAACGCCCTCGGGCTCCCCCACCCTCCCCCAGCCACACGTTGCTTGTTCCAGCTCCATTTTAATCTCTCCCAAGGAGGAGCTGGAGCAGCTGCCCCGTTTCCCACACCTTCCAGATGCACCGGCTGCAGTGCCCTGGAGTCAACTGGGAGCTGCTGGTGGAGCAGAACTCCCACAGCTCCATCCCTCCCCATGTCCTCTGCAGGTTCAGAGAGCAAGGACAGACCCCCAGGGAGACCCTCCTGCCTCAGGCTGCAAACTCTGCTGCAAAATTGTTTAACAAGAATTATTTGATAGCACCAACCCATCACCCAGCTCACCACTTGCAGCAGGGGTTGGTGAACACTAGACACTTTCTAAGCAGGCGACTTGACACAGACACAAATGGTGCCAGATCTGAACCAAACCCATCCTTTTCCCA